AAAACTTGGAAGATCACTTTATTAACATAGTAGGCTGCTACCAGATGGAGCAGAGAGGAATGCCAAGAACAGATCACTGGCTCCTTGTGAAGCTCAGAGCCGCTCGCTAACTTTTTCCAAGCAAGGAGTTAGCCCAGAGGTATCGGACTCCTTGCTCTGCACGGAAAGGCAAGGATCTTAACGGTGAGAAATCTGCCAGGGAGGTTCTTCGGGTCATCACCAGGAATCAGAGGTTTTACAGCTCCCGCTCAGAGTTGCTGTGGCCCAGTAACACCAGGTGCCAGGTCTAGGTAAGCCGGGCAGGGCAGCTGTGAGCAGGGAGCCGCTTGCCCTGACTCAGCGAAGAGGAATGTCAGCCCCGAGATCCCGATCCCCCGGGGACACATCCAGCACACATGCCACGCCACTGCCACGCCGGGTGTGGTTTCTCTGCAAGGAAAGTCAACTCCTTGAAGGAAAGCTGAAGTCACACAAGTACGGCAGATGGAGGGAGCGGGGACCCTGCCGACACACCTACGTAAGATATTTTTGGCAGTCTCGCTTAGCCTTTAGCCCCTTTTTGAGGAGGAAAAAAAAAAAAGCAGTTTAGCAAGGGGGATGTGGAGACGCAGCAGCACGGCCATTTCTTTGTGCTCTGCACTGGCCTGAGCCAGGACTACAGCGAAGGTGAGCAGAGGGGCTCGGCCGGCAGCACCACCTCCCTGTGCACTGTTCAAACAAAGGATGCTGCACGTCAGGCCAGGCTGCCTCTCCTTGGAGGGGGAGGAGGGACTGCTGAGCAAGTAGGCCATTAACTTCCTGCCAGCTAGTCTGCAGCAGTAAGGAAATAAAAAAAAATCCAGCACTGTGGGGTGTGCAGGCAGCAGAGACAGCCCCTCTGATCAGCCATGTTCCAGCGGCAGGATGCCAGCGCAGGGGATGCACATGCAGCCAGAGCAGGGCTTTCCGAGCAGAGATACCTCCAACAGGGCGATTGCTTGTACGTCAGCAAGAATTCAAGCAAACCCACCGCTCCACGGTAAAGTCTAGCCTCGGATCTCGTCTAGGTGTCCTCAAGGGGGAGGAGCAGAACAACCAGGAGCCTCTTGCCCAGGATGCTGCTCCTTCCCCCCACCTCAACACAGCTCCACACCCAGGCACACCGAGCTCCTCTCTGCATTTCAAGCAGCATCACTGCCCAGTGATGTCTCTGAAGATGCCGGCTCCCCAGACCGAATATACAGCTTTGAACTCTCAGACAGGATTTTCAAGGCACAGATTTGTGCTGCACGCTGAGCCACCGCCGAGGCAAAGCGGAGCTGCCAGTCACCGGGGCTGTCTGGAAGGAGGGGACCAGAGCCCTGCTGCTGCAGGTACCACCTCCATTTGGGACTCACAGCTAAGGGACACTGCCCCGATCCCCCTGCCTCAGCCCTGCCAGCTGCAGCACAGAGCTCTATTATCTCTTCAGCTCAACAACTAAGAAATTAAAGCCTATATATAACACATTTGGGAGCAGCTGGTCCCCTTGAACTCACATACAGTCTTGCCTGCCCTTCACAGCCTGGCTCTCCCCCACCCCTCATTTGCAGAAGCCTCAAACTTCACCTGGATGTTGCCTTTCCTCCACTTCTACCTCTTTTAGTTCAAAGTGCTCATGTAAAGAGATGAGCCCAGCCTTGAATGCTGCTTCCAGTGAACAACCAGTCAACCCAGTACCCAGCTGAAGTCAAAAGAGGAACGGTGAGGAGGGTGGAGACGGTCACGTCTGCCACGAAGCAAGTTCCCAACACTGAGGAGCATGGGAGGGCAGAGGGCAGAGTTAACCAGCCACCTTCTTGAAAGGCTTCACAGATTTATTGCTGGGGTAATGTCAGATAGGGAGGAAGCCCAGCCCTCTTCCTCCTGCTCTCTTGAAGAAAGAAACTCAGGAATTTGGCAGAAGGCCACGGCTCAAACAGAGGAGACCCTGTGCTAAGGCATGTTCAGAAAAGCAGCCTCTTCCCTGCCAGGATAAACGTTGCTTTTCCACCCCCTTCTCGGGGGATAGAAGATGTTGCCCCTCAACTCCAACATCAGCAAAAGCTGTTTGGAAAGGGTGGGCTCCTTCTGGGCTGTCCTTGTGCCAGACACGCTCACCTTGCCCGGACATTTCTTCCTCCCCAGGATACTCCGGGGGCACCGCACACCCCAGCTACAGCAGCTGAGAAGGAACCAGACCCACGTCCTCTGGCTGGAGCTTCCCTTCACCCCACGTCTGGGCACTGCCATCGCAACCGTACAGCCGCCACCCCAGCAAACAAGGGGCTGGCAGCTGCCGGAGGCAAAGCCTCATGTGCCAGCAGCTTTCAGCTGCTCTCACTTCCCTTCGCTTTAAGGCATGGCCAGGCAAGGTCGGAAGAACAAAGCATTTAATGCAGGTTTCCGCGCACAACTCTGAACATCCAGGGCTACCCCTGGGGTAGAGGCGAGACAGGCAGCTGCCTCTTCTTCAGGGAGGCTGTTAAAGGGTTAAGACAGCAAGCCAGCATCAAAGGGAGCTCTCAGCAGAGGGGGTTGAGAAACTGAGATGGGTCGAGGTTGCGCAGACTCCTTGGAATCTCAGGAATTTCCCATTATTATCCCACTTCCCTTCCAGCAGCCTGGAGGGAGAGAGCGCAAGAACAGGACCCCAGGCCCATCCCTACGGCCAGAGGCAGAAGCACTAGGGTCGGGCATGCCCCAGCACTGCATGCCAGGCAAGGCTCTCTGCCAGAGCTGGTATCAGGGCGCCCACCATCCAGAGAAGAAAGCTTTGGTTCAAGACACTAAGAAGAGCTCAGGGGCCTCATCTCCTGCAGCTCTCTGCAGATGAAGGTCTCAAGCTCACAGATCCCAGGCTGGTTGGACCACCATCACGGTAAGTTGAGATACCTGCACAGTCCAATAACAAGCATCCCTCTAATCAACAGTTCACCCTGCCTCAGACCAGAGGTTCCTCCCTCATACGACTCCAGTAGTCCAGAAAGTTCCTAGTTCCACCTCAGAAGCTGGAGCTCTGGTAGTGCTGGTGGCCCCCATACAGCTAGATAACCGAGAGTTATTTGCTGCTATTCACACGATTGCCACCCTGCATTTCAGGTGAGGTCCCAAGACACCACCATTACCAGCCGAGACTTGAATGCTGCAAGTCTCATCCCACTTCAACAGAAGTCTTGATCGTGACTTGTCCAAGGTCATCATCAACACCTGGTATCAGCAATAACCAACCTACGAAAGAGCTACAGAAGTGGGAAGTTTTTGCTAATGCACCACACGGCTGATGGTCTTACCACTTCTCCTTTCTACTTCTCTTAGACATTAATAGGGTAAGATCCATCTTACAAGGATGTTGTCAGGATTAACGTTTTTAAAGTACTCTGTGAATGGACCATGCTATACAAGTGCTAAGTAGTATTATGTTATCTAATTTTCCTTCTAAGAACTGTTAATGTATAAGCAGCAGCTACAGAACTCTTATTGCAAAGCTGCTTTATAGACATCAAGAAACACATCAGGTAGAGTTCAGTGCTTCCCCGTGGGCTGAGTAGGGACTAGAGCTCATTATGCAACAGCAGATCCCAGAAAGCTGTACACAGTTCAGGGTCCTTCTTGATAAGAAAAGAAAAGTGGGGGCCAGCGAACACCCACCACTCAGAAGCAGCTTGAAAGGTCCAGGAAAGCAAATTGAGGTGTGGTACAGGCAGCTGCTCCTGTTGTACCCTGCTCTGCCTCCATCTCCCCCACACTGCTCAGGAGAAGGATCTTGCATTCAAGCTGTATTTACCTTCATAACATCCAGGGCAAATGCCAGTAGATTAGGGTGAATGCCCTTGGCCATGAGCCCATCAGCCCATCAGAGCACAGGCTGCAGAGTTTCCCATGTCCCACACACCCCATTTCCCCTGCACAGAAGGGCATTTCTCCTCTCCCCAGACACCTGTATTCAGTTGGGCTGGTATAAACACCTTTTTATTTTCCCTTTTTTAAGGGGATACAGATTAAGATCAGCTCCATGTAAATGCCTGCATTTGAGTTTTAGTCACCTTTTGTCTGCCCAAGCTGGAACTGGAGAGCAGCCATCAGCTGGCATTTAAGCCTGGAAAACACTGTTTTAATTGCCAGCATTAATTGGCCTGTGTGACCCCTTCAGCCACGGCTTGACATGTGCTCCCAGAAAATGCTGCAGGGAAAGACAGTTTCTGCAGAGGTCAGGCTTCCCCACAGCTCTCATCTCATGGTGTGAGGACTGGGGCTTAAAAGGGAGGGGGGTCCAGCAAATCCTACAGCATCTCCCAGGCCCAACGCTTTCTCAGTGGCAACAAGAACAGGTAGCAGAGACTTACGCATTGCAATATGGCTTCTTTTCATAGCCCTTGTAGTTTTTCATGTTTAGGGTCATCTTGCAGGTCTCGCAGTGGAAACATGCTTTGTGCCAGAACTGGAAACAGAGACAAGAGAATCATTAACACAAGTGACTTGCAAAACAGGGCCACTTCCCACTAGAATTGCACAACTCAAACTCAGCAGCTCCTGCAGCCTAGAGATGTCAGTGATAGCATCCATGACCCCTGCAAAACCTAGAGGGCAGACAATATTCTTACTAGTTTAGGACACAAGTAAATCCCCCTCGACCCTCCCAGTGCACCTTATCTCAAGAGAGCAGCAACATCTGCTACTTGCAAATGGTATAGTAGCATCTTGCTTCCTTATCTCCAGACCAGGAATTCATTTGGCTTGGCCAAATACAGGATAGGAGAAGCCTCCTACTATGAAAGAGGCACAAACAAACCCCTGTGAGCAGGGAGACTGTCAGCAGAGTTAACAGCTGTGGTTTGCAGGCTTCAAAGTTGCTGCTTTAGGGTTTTTTTGCTGATGTTAGCCAAGAGATAGCCAGAAGAGCAGGTCAGGTGAGGCTGCACACAGACAACGAGCCAAGGAAAAGACAACAGAGAAGACAAAGGTTCTCATGAGAAGCAGACAGTCCAATACAGACAGCTCAAAGGTGCTCACCACACTTCTGCCTGCAATTTAGGTGCCTAATCCCCAACCTCACAAACTCTACAGCCCCAGAGGATGCAGGATCACCCCAAGCACCCCTCAGTCCCCCTCTCCCCACGGTGGGGCTGTCAAGAGCTATGACTGCTCCTGCCGGTGCTGCATCCTAACACAGGGCAGGGCTGGGGACAGCAGCAAGGAAGAGGAGCTGCTAGCCTGACATTTTGGTGAAGGCAGTTTTTGCATCCTGTCCCCAACAGCTCTTGCACCAGTAGCCTCACCTCAAGCTGACCTCACCCCCCCCCGAGGTCTGCTGCCACCTGAACACAGCTGTACAGCAGCACAGCCCTCCTTTCAACCAGTGAGGCACGCTCAGAGCCAGGGCTAAAGACATACTCCCCGAAATTCAGATCATGACCCTACGTTATGGGTTTCAACACCTAGTGAACTCTAAAGAAGTGTTTTAAGTTTTTAGGGCTACTCTTGAAGGAATTATTTCCACTTGGCATCTAACTGGCCCGAGTGGCTTTCTAGGCTGGAAGGAGCCCGAGGAGAACAGCTCAGAGCTGCTACCAAGCAATTCTGCGATTCTACCCCATGACGCCCTGCCAGTCACCAAGTGACCAGGCTTTGTGCTTCCTCTGACAGCCATCGGGACTTGAGGGGTCTGGTGTGACTTCCCAGGGACCAGACCAGGCACCGCAGAAAGGAAAGTGCACAGGCAGGAGCCGAGCTGGAGCAGCGCAAGGAGGAAAGCACAGCCCGAAGCAATGTCTTTACTCACTGGAGGTAAGGCAGTCCTGCCCTAGGGTTGCCCTCCCTCCCGGGTAACCCCCCTCCTTCAGCAAGGCCCCCCTGCACAGCACACAAACCGCCCAGCATCACCCTGCAAAAAATCAGGGAAAGAACAAGCGGAAAGCCACATTAGCAGCTCATCCTACCAAGTAGATTACAGTCAACAAGCCTGCAGTGTGACACCCAGGACTTGGAGCCAGGCACACATTTACTATGCAGTGAGCAAACCCAGGGAGAACAGCTGGCGGTTGTTGCTACGATTTCCACCCTTAAGCTTTTAAAAAGTCATTTCCACCACTGCAACTGCTGGCTTGGTCTGTGTTCTTCCAAGGAGACGGCAAGAGCCAAGCCTAAGCCCTTGTGCCACCTACCCGCAGGTGCCACACCCCAGTGCACAAACACCTCCGCAGCTCTACGAGCCTGTGACTCATCCCAGAAGGACAATTTGCCTCCTTCCAGTTGCTCACAGCAACATATTTGTTCTTTTCCTCCGGTTACGCGAGTTCCTCCAGAGCTTGCCGCTAACAGTGAGAGGGGGCTTCTTGCTGCACCACGCGCTGCCCTGTACCAACACCCTCGTTCACATCCAGCCTGCACAGGATTATTTTCCCTCCCTCCCGGCTCTCGGGCTCTTTAAGGACAGACAGATCAACAGCTGAGTCCCGAGTTCTTCAGGCATCTTGAAAAGTTACAGCCTTTTGGTTGAGCTACTGCCACATTAGAGGTAATTAACAGACCTCTCCAAGCTTGTCAGCCATTCATAGTCTGTAATAGCTGGGCATAAATACCAGAGATGCCACTATAAATATGCAGAGATGAACTGACAGCCAACATGACTTCAGAGCCTCTTCCTCCGAGGAATACCCAGGCTCCCAAGAGCCAAGGAGTATCTGGCAAGGCCAGCTGTCCCCCCCCGCCCGCGGGGCCTCCACAATAAGCACAGCAGAAGCAACGCACTCAGGCGGCCTTTACCTCCAGCCAGAGAGCAATTAATGCATATTCTCGCCTCAGTTTGCATTAGGCATTGTTCAGCAGAGGTGTTTCTGCCCTGTGGCTCTTGCAAAGGACTCTGCAGCCTGAGCAGGCAGCCGAGCCACCCAGAGAGCACTACCCCCATCTCTAAGTCTCGCTGCCCCTAAACCTTGTCTTACCACTGACAGTATTAATGCCGGATCCAGAAATCTAAACCAGCACTGAAAGGAGGGCTGCAACACCGAACTGACACAGGGGAACAGCAATTATCTAGGCTTCCAGTAACGCTACCGCTCACCCTCCAGCACGGCTGCAGAGAAAGAGGACAAGTTTCAAATAGGTTTTTAGAGAAGCATTAACGCCTGTGCTTTCCAATTCCAAGTTTGAAGTGCTCCGAACATCTGGAGGCGATCCCAGGTACAACTGCCCGGCGCAGCTCACCCCACCTCCCAGCAGGCCGTACTCGACGAGAAGCACGCTGGCTGCGGTCCAGGCAGGCTGCTCTTGGAGAGACGGAGCCCTTTAAGCAACTTTGCCACTCGCAGCAGACTAGATCTGGGGACAGAGCTCACAGCCACGGTACGTGTTGGTGTATCCATTTATAGCTCACGCTGCAGCCGCACAACATCCCCCCACCAAGCAAAGCCATTGCTCCACACCTGGGAACAAGCATCACTTGAGACTCAAGGGTTAGAGGACAACATAAAGAGACTCCTCGGGCCGCAGGCAAACCCGTGATCTGGTTTAAGGCACTGTAACAGCTAACTCTAACGTCTACTCATTTTAGAAAAAGTCATCCGACATCAGCTTTACACGGGTATGCAACCACCAAACCCTGCAACGGCCGCTCCAGCGATGGGCGGCACAGGAGATGTCACTTCCACAGCGGAAGCCAGCCACATCACCCAGCACCTTATCCGGAGAGCCGGCGGGGAGGCGTGGGGGAAGGGAACAACACCCACTTCCCCAAGCCAGAGCAGGGCATTTGCCTTTCACAAGGTGACGATGCGAAAAGTCAAGAGGCAGAACTCGCAGGCGGAGTTTCACCCAAGTCGGAGCTGTCAGCGGGCGGTCTCACTTCTCTACCTCCTGCGCTGCGTTTGTAAAGCCTGATGAAGCAGCAAGTTTTCCTCATTTGCTGCAAATCTCAGACGGGAAACAGACTTTCCCGATTTCGCTACCAGGAGAAAAACCCAGCACATCTGCTTGCCAACACACCAGCACAGGCACCGAAAGCTTAAAGGCAGCGACACGCACACTTCTCCCAGAAGCCCTTCGTTATTGCTGCCTGCGGTTCAACTTCAGCCCTAGCAGCGCTTATGCAAACACCACCAGAGCTGCCCTTTCAACTTTGCCCGGGGTTGAGCAAAAACAGGGGGAGAGCCACTCTAACACCGCGCTCATCCTGTGCTTTGACGGGAAGTGGGTCGGCTCTTCCAGCCACCGCCTCACCCGCCAGAAACCCCAGGAAAAATTAACACGGGGAGTTAGCGGGGGGGGAAGCCGTTTGGTTCGGGGTGTGCTGTACTGCAAGGCTGACCACGCAATGATTTGTAGCGAGAGAAAGCTAATGAGACCCCTAGAAGTACAAGATGACGGCCGCAGCCTCCTGCCTGCTCCCAAACGGCTAGAATCCGGGGTCTCAGGATGCACATCGGTCGTGCCCTCGCAGCAACACACGATTGCCAGCTCAGAAGCAGCACAAACCCCAGACACCGGCTGCGCAGGAGGAAGCAAGGGGGCGTCCCCCCCCCCCCCCCCCTCCCCACCACCCCCACTT